TCGAATGACTTTTATAATCCGAGCCGCTCAAAAAGTTTTTTCTTTTATTATTTTATTATTATTATTATTATTATTATTATTATTATTATTTTAGTTTTTAGTTAGTTTCGGTCATCGGGAGTTCATTGGACAATCCTTCTACAGCTGGGGCAGGCCTCCAACAAGTTTGGTCAGCATTAGTGAAAGCTGTTCTTCAGAAGCTCGGTTATATCCTAGGAGGTTTGTCAGTTACAGCAAGGCGTTTTCTTAGCAGAAACTTCACATCTCAACACCAATCCAAACTGGAAAAAAATTGCGTCCTTGGGAGTTGGTCTATCCCGAAAGGAACTTGCTGCGGCAAGTCGGGAATCACAATCCTCTAGAAGAGCGTTTTCGAACCCAATCTGTTTCTATATACTTGCGAAATGGTCCCAAGTATTCACCTCACGGCCAGTACAAATACGGTTCGGGCCGTATAACAGCCGATTTAGCCATGGAGGAGTTAGCAAGTAGTTCCTGTTCCGGGCCAAAATCCAGAAAACCTCCAAACTACACGGCGGTCTCTTTTGAATCGCGTCCAGCAGTTGACTGAGCCCGATCAGGGCCCTTGTTTAAAAGTCCAGGTTGGGAGGATTACGTCGTCTCGAGGTGAATGGAGACATCCTTCAACACCCTGCTGGCCAGACAGACGCTCACTCTGTCGCATATACAGTTGAAGACTGGTGCAAATGCCGGGCAACTGGATCCTGGATAAGTGGCTCGAGATAGTTCAAGTTGGGATAGTAGTAGTTCCGGCAAACCAAGACGGGGATATGCAAACCGGGAACGACATATTGTGCCATCAAGCGTGAAGTGCGGCAGTTAACTTAACGGGATTCAGGATATGAGCAAAGAGCCAAACTGCTTTGTGAGGTTCATCTTTACACCTCCCCCCAGTAAGATGAGGTCGCTCTCGTGTGGGCGGGGGAAGAGGGACTTGGCTTTTCCCGGGAACCGCATTTGAGATCAGTCACGTAAGCCAGCGTGCAAAATAACTAACCAAGTAAGCTATCGTCGTCGACTCCGCTAAGCTTGCTCACTGCCTCTCTTCTATGGAACCAAGTTCCTTTAAACCCAGGTTTGACTTCCGCCATCGTTAGTTAAGCTAACAGTTAATTTTGTGTCTAGGCTAGGCGTTTTCAGGGGTGAAAAATGTGGTCCAGCCCAATAGCATCACGTCGCAGCTGGTGACCTCAGGATCCGACTGTTCAGAAACAGATATTCAGTTCCAAGTTATATATGGCGAAGATGCTGTTGCAGTCGAGATCGGGAGTGCCCAATGCCGAGGGGGGCGGCCTTTGATCCGCGGGCTCCGTAATTGGGCGAAATTGTCCCTTTGAACGCCGTTGGTAACGGTGTTGGTTGCTTGCGGGGACTTTGGGTTCTGCCTCGCGAACAGATAGGTCTCAACGTTTGAAAGACCTGTCCTCTCGATACACGGAAAATTGTACACGGAGGTTACTCTGTTATATCCCGTTGAAGCCACTGTACTTGGGTACTACCCAAATATGGGAGGGACCAAATAGCTTCTTCTTCTTCTGCGTCGTCTCCTTTGGGATCTCTTTTCCTTGTCGCATTCGTTATAGGTGTGTGGGAAAATACATGGGCATTCACATTTGCGGTTACCGGACCGTGTTTGCTAGAATGCATTGGTAAGTCTTAACTATTGGAAGAAATGTAGCGGTTGAAGTAATTATCTGATCACAATATAGACATTTATGTAGTCAATGGATTAGGAACCAATAAAAAGAAATCTCAAAATGGGAATGAGTGAAAATTTAATAATCTAACATCCATACCAGTAAATACGTAGAGTAACAAGCTTCATGCAAATAAACGGACAAGGGGAGAATCAAGTAAAAGAAGCAATGATCATACAAAGAAAAGGAGAACAACAGCCCAAGAGATTCAAGAGCGCAAGAAAACTAGAGAAAGGGAGAAAACGGGGTGAAAAAAAGAAAATGCTGGGACAGAGCTCAATTCAAAAATTGGAAAAGGGGGTATGAAAAGCAGCAGAAACAAGGAGACGACATACATGAGATAATGGAAAGGCGTTATAGATGGAGAGGTGATATTCTGCAAAAGAGAAAAGACAAAAAAAAGGTGTCAAATGGTAAATAAATTAGGGAGAGAAGCATCGGACCGGATAGAAGACTGGAAGTTGAGTAGCCGAAATAGATGCCGGGGGAGAGGGTAAAAGAAGAGGACAAAATAAAAGGGCAAGAGATCATTACAACAATACAGTGTATAGACAAAAAAAAGATAAAACGATGAAATAAAATGGGGGAAAAAAAGGGCTCAGATAGTTTCCAGGCAAATAAAATCAAATCGAATCAAAAGAAAATGAAACCACAACCACCATTTTCCCTTCTCTTTCCCTTTCCAATGATTATCAGGAAAAGTATTTAACGAGCAATAAATAAAACACCGTGAGATCCACGCCAAACGCTCCAGTCAATGAACAAATCAAGGCAGGATAAAGCTCGGGAGCCAGCCAGGCGTGCGAAGCCAATCCCCAGACCCAACTACTGCTTACCAACCACAGCAGCAGACCCCTTCCTATTCCCCTCCCTCTTCCCCTGCACAACAGTCGTCCAATCCTCCCACTCCTTCGCAACCTCCATCAACACATTCCCCATCACAAGCGCCGACGCCATAAGCCCATGACCCTCCCCCTCCAGCACCCGCACCTCACACCGCCGCATCGTCTTCCCCAGCCACCGCACATTGTCAACCGGCACCCGCGTGTCCCGCGTGCCATGATGGAGAACCACAGCGCGATTGATATCCACGTACCGGAATCCTATCGTCTGCCGGCGCTCGAGGCAGATGAGCAGGTCGACGGCTGGGTTGGCATTTGTCGTCGCGAGCGCCCAGATGGCGTGTGTGAGGCGGTTGTCGTAGTCTGATTGGCGCTCCTTGTCGACGGCGGCAGCGGCGGCGATGATGGCTAGTTCGGCCTTGGGGTCGGAGGGGTTCGTGGTGGCGCGGGATACGATGTCCTGGGAATCGCGGTCTGGCGGGTTTCGGGGTATGTTGAGGGAGTTTTCGCGCTGTTGGGCGATGAGGGTGTTGAAGCCTGCTTCGTTGGTGCCGGCGATGGTTGTGCTACGGCGTTTGTTTTTTCTGGAGTTTTTGGGGAGGCTGCTTGTGATGCTTGCGCTGGTGGTGGTCATGAAGCTGGAGTTGGCGACTCTGAGAAATGGGGTTGGCAGCGCACGGAGGAGTCGTTGGGAGTATGGTACGGCCCCCGCTGGGAGGGGCTCTTTGTGAGAACCCATACTGGTCATTTGGGATGGGGGTATCCATGGAGCGAGTAGATGTATCCGTCCTCGGATATGCTGTGGCATTCGTAGCGCGGTTGCGAGAGCATATATGGCTCCAGCAGAATGTGCCAGCATGGAGAATTTCGTGATTTTAAGATAGTTGCAAATGATGGCCACATCGTCTATCAACATACGTTAGCACATAAATCTTTTGAGATAGGGTGGAATAAGAAACAAGGAACTGAAATGGATCACACCTGGCCAGCTGAGAGGCGTCCCTGATCCATCAACGCAAGGCTCACTCTCCCCAACACCCGGTCGATCTGGCGTTATCAACCGCAACTTGAGTGTCCGAGCTAGCTCGTCGTAAAACGCCGTTAAATATCTTGTTAAGCCCATGCCCACGCAACAAAATACCACATAGCCCTTTGGATCGCCAACTTCTGAAAACGCAATCGTTCGTCCTGTGTGTGGATGGTTTACCTTCTGAGTAAGCCGTGGAGATGAGAGATAGTCGCGGACAGCGTCGTCGATAGAATCTGAACTAGACGGTCGTTCTTCCGCGCCTAGCGACAAACGAGGAGAGGGAGATACTGCGCCGGACCGTGTCCGTCGATGATTTGACTCGGAATGGCTGTTTTGCAGTGACCGTCGCCGCAACACCTTTGTGTCACCGCGATCAGATTTTTCGAAAGGCTGGATCCCCGACGCAGGCTGAATGTTAGTTGTTTTTGACGAGAGCGGTCCGCTATTTCGTTTCTTGGTCACTTGTGATTTCCGCGTGAGAATGGCAGGGGATGGTGCGCTTTCATGTTGCTCCGCTTGTACTTCATCAACTACTGTATGAACAGCTTGTCTGACCAAAACCGTTTCTTTCGTTACTGTTGTTTGTTGCATGGACTGCGGCTTAGGGCTGGGATTTGGTGCCCGGAGCTGCGAAGTGGATTCCAACGCCTCCTTCTCGGTCTGCAATTCGTCCTTGATTTGTTTCTGCTGCGCTTTAAGCTCCCTTATCCGCTTCGAGACTTGATCGTCTTCCTGGTTTACCTCCGCAATATCACGGTCGATGGTGAAATCCCGGTTGGAATATACACTGTGACGAGCTGAACGACGTTTTTTGCTTGAATTCCCACTGTAGCTATGGCGCAATGAGGATTCACGGGTAGGTATGACTCTACCACTTCCAATCCCGCCTGGGCTGCCATTGACTGAGTCGGCAACGGACCTCGATGTACCAAGGTTCGGGGCGGAGTCGCGTCTACTCTCTCCATTCAACTGCTTCTCTAACTGTTGGAAAACACCGTTATTCAAGCTCACTTCTTCCGCCAAATCAGCCATCGAAGGTGTTGAGCGCAATGATAGCCGGCTGCGTGACGTGTTTAACCGCGGATTATCCCCTGTCTTATGGAAACGGTCACTCTCTTTATCCTTAGGAAACTCTCTAGAGCTCCTCTTCAGCAAGTTCAATTGGTTCTTCAAACTCTTTCGACCGCCACTGCTGGAAGACGCGATACTTGCGGTGGAGAGTCGGGGACCAGGTTCCAAACTAGGTACACCAAATACTGATATATCATCAAGACCAGCATGAGACGAAGCCATTGACGCTCTCGAACCTGTCCGTCTGGGTGAGGTATCGCCAGCCGGGCTACATGGCGATCGGGGAGATCGGGGTGAACGTGGAGACGTGGGAGCCTTTGCCATTCGTACCACAGGGGAAATTGCAGCATCGTCAGGGTGTAAAAAAGAATTTCCTTCCTCGTCAACTACAGTCTTGTAGGCGCCATAATCCATGCCAAATCCCAAACTTGAAGGAACATTTGTCTCCCGGCCATCGCGAGGGAACTCCGTTTGTTGAAAGCCAGGGGATGGAGGAGCAGTGCGTGAACCTATCTCGGGGAAGTTGTCAAAATGGGATTGGGCGGGGGTAGAAATGGTAGAGAGGGACGAGATCAGGGAAGAAATGACTTCGGGAGATGCAGGTGAAATGTGCTTGTGAGATGGGGCGTTGATCGACCGCGAAGGCAGGCTTTTCCGGCGGTGGGCGAGCTCGGGGTGAGAGTCTGCTCGAAGGGGAGGGCTCAGTGTGTCCTGCATGGCTGTGGGATTCGCATCAATGCGAACACAACAGGAAGTTAGGAAGCTTGTGAAAGAGCCAGAGTCACGAATCGCAGGGGTTGGGAGAATTAAATGCGACCGATTGTTCAGCAGACGCTAACATGCTCTAGTTGCGTATGGTTGTATCCGATTCCTCCCCCCCTTTTGCCTCTGTAACCGCCAGCAAACCAGCGCGAGGTAGATGGGGGCCAGTAAATCGCAAAAGGAAAACAATAAATAGCAGCTGTTGGTTTATTTGCCGGTCCGTAGATCTAGAGTCGTTGCAACTGTGGTTCTGCGTGGTAGAAGTGATTGGGCCTGGTGGAAGTCTGATTATTTAGTGAACGTTTAATAATTTTTTCGAGACGATAAGGAGAATTGCAATTTGGGGCTTAAAAATCCGAGGTATTTAAATTGCGGTGCCGGATCTGCCTCCTAGTTTTCTTTTCTTTTCTTTTCTTTCTTTCTTCCCTCTTTTTTTTTTTTTTTTTTTTTATTCCCCTTTTCTTCCTCTTCCGGGTCAATCGCTCAGTACGGTCTGAGGCTCAACATCCAGGGGTTCACAAACGACTCGAGATATTGTGCCAGGGCTAGCCCAGGACGACGTAACAACGGAACGGGGTTGTCATTTGCTCAGAGCAAGAATTTGAATGGTGAATGGTGAATGGCAGAGAGGGCAGCGAGCGATATGACTGGCAACGGGGGAATTGCAGGTGGAGGCCAGGAAAAAGCAACGACTGCGCAGGAACGAACGCAGCGTGGAAGATGTTTGGATGAGGTTGAGACTGGGCGGAGGAGGACAGGACGGGCAAGAGAAGAAAGAGAGCAAAACCCGACTGGAACCACCAGCTAAAACACCGGCAGCAGACTACGGAGCAACCCCATGAGATGCTTGGGGTTGTATGGATCGATCGTCGGTGGAGGGATCTTATTTATTAAACCTCCCTCCTCCCCCTTTTTTTCTTTTCTTTTTTCCTTTTTCCTTCCGGTGTTGTTCCTTTCTCCTCTGCATTTTATTTATTGAAATCTCAGCTCTTCTTGCAATCACCGGCAGGACTGAATCCTAAATACCCTTCCCCCCGCCACATTGGATCAATGCATATTCCCCGCTATCTGCCGTGCCATTTCAATCGACCAGCGACGGCTGCTTTCTTCGATCAGCTAAAGGCTCCGTGGATCGGAGCTCAAGTGCATGTTGCTGCCATGTACACAGTAGTTTCTCCCGACTTCCCCTTCATCCTACCCAACCACCCGGACACCTTTGGACGATGTTATGCAAGATGCTGCAGGTTGATGAATGCCAGTCCTACCAGCACTCCATAACTGGCTGATCAGCTGCAAGTCAAGAGGAGCTCACCCTGTTGGAGTGTTACCCAGCGACCCACCGGTCAGCTTGCAGTCGCTCTCTGTACCCATTTTGGCTAAACCCTTGTTTATTTATTGACGACAGGGATGTTTGATGCTGTTAAGAGCTCTGGGCTGCTTTCGGATCTTTCAACGGGACTGTTGTAGACCCTGGGATTCTTCTGTCTACTTAGATTCCATCATTTTTGCATATTCCAGTGTTGAGGGTGAACCATGGAAACACTCTGGAGAAAAAGAGAGTTAAGTCCTAATTTCTCCGACAATATTCTAGTTCGACGACTCCATACTACAACATCCATGGATATTCTGAATAGTTCTTAATATATGCTGGTATTATACCGAGTGGAGCTGTCTCCGGGAGAAGCGGAAATTGCGAATAATCTCGATTCATTCTGTTTGGCGCACTGCGAGTTTCAGATGTCGAGATGACCCAAAGCACCAAATTCAAAAAGAAGAAGAATTGAGTATTCCGCCGTCCCTGCTACGAATAGGTTTAAGCCAGACATCCCATCGTATGAGGTTCAAAAACTTTCCTCTCCTATATTTGGCCAAGCTTGGACTCAACTGGGTGGATGCCATTCACTTGCTCACTTCTTACCTCCAAAGCTATGCCCCTCGATATAATACCAGGTCTACTTATTATATTGAAAATACCCTAGATTCATATCCAGTACATCCATGGATATACCCATGAGCAATGCGAAACCCCCAGATGCCGCGTGGCTTACCACCTGGGAACCCTTTAAGAATATATATATATATATGTCCTGCCACTCCGGCTTTATATAGCTGACAGGGAATTATTGCCTTTTATCTCTCGACTCCAAGTGTAAGGTAAACTAAACAACGTTGAAATAACAATTGTTCCTCACACAAAACACGATCAATCCACGGAACAGAAGGACACAAATGCCCTATATTCAAAATGTTTAATGATAATTCTGTAATTTATTTGCACATTTTGACTCCATTCAAAACGTTGCTCAAACATTGTGCTTTTCGAGAGTAGTGCGTGGAATAAGTATGTCAGTGCGTGGGTATATTCCCATACCCCATGCTTTGGTTAGTTCCACGTCAACATCTGTCCTACGTGCAATTTCCTCCGCAGCAAATCGACCCCGCCTCTTCACCGCAAAGGGGCTCAGCTCAGCCTACCCAACTCCAAAGCTCCAAAGAATGGATTGTCTGTTCTGAATGAGTACCCGTAACCCTGGAAATGCTGTTAGTGGCCACCAGCAGCCGCCTTCCGCCGCAAATCTCTTCCTACCACGTCCATAGTAATGGACGCTTACCCCCCCGACTACGTCGACCACAACCTCCCCTTAATTCTCCTCTCCGGCCTTGGATCTGATCCGAATCCGGAGTCCGACCCCCAGGGTAGTAGTTCTCCACATGCTGGTGCTGAGTACCCTCTTCTACGAGATGATGGCATTGAGATATTCTCTGATTTCCCGCTGTTGACCGATTCGACGGCGGAGAGGGTGCTGAATGCTCTCCTGAGTCAGGATGCTGCGGGAAGGCCGTGGAATTCTAAGAGTGAGGGATTAGGGGCTGGGGCCGTTGGATTTAGGATAAAGAGGGTTGGGCGGGTAGGTCAGCACCCCCTCTGACTTTTTTAAACTGTCCTCTGTATTACTCTGAACATTGCAAATTGCGCTGGATATTCCCTTCCCCCCCCCCCGGGTCCAGTAGCTGTATGAGTATCTAAAGACGACTCTCTCATTGTATTATGCAATTGGGGTCCCCTGTGACGTTGCAAATGCTGGAGACTTGCCGCATACTGACGGTACACTATAGAAATACACTTTACCCCCCCACAAATGTCAAACCCTTCCCAGATTCCCTTCACCTGACAATGCTTCCGGTAGACATGGCAATAGTACAACTTCTTTGCCCGTCGTCCACTCACCGATATCTCCCCTGACACCGAGCTCCCCAACATATCCAGACGGCATCATGACACCGCAATGGGTGACGAAGCACCAGAAACTAGTTCCTGCAGCCTTTATTAACTTCTTCCCATTCGCATCTGATACAAACATGGCCTCCCTTCGAGATAACCAACTGAAGATAGAAATTAACAGTTTAAGGAAAGAATGGGCCGCATCTGGATATAAGACACGGTTCGTTGTTGCGTTGTTGTGCGAGGATGGACCCTTGGCCGAAGATGCGAATGACCGGATAGCCACCATCAGACGGGCAACAAACCTTGATCCGAAGAGTATTTTTGTTCTCCGTCCTGAGCCGTCGCAGCTTGATATCAGTGAATTTACCAACTCCCTTCTTGCCAGCTTACAAGCTCCAAGCATTGAGTACTACAGAGATCTCTCAAAGCATGCTAGGCGGAAAAGGAATCGAACAACCATTCCTCCCCCAACTGCACCACCTACCAGTGGGACTTCGAAAACCTTACCAGTCCAGGGCTGGAACATTCGGTATGACTTTAAACTTGGCGTTTTTGCTGAATTCCGTCAAGAGATGGATGCTGCGTGTCGAAGTTACGAGACTGCATATGAAGGCCTGTTTGGTGCAGAAGTATTTGAAATGATTGCTGGGTGGAGCTCCAGATTTAATGATGCTCGAATGCTTGCGGATATACTTGCGATTCGCATCATCCGATGTTTATTATGGACCGAGCAGACGGCAGGTGCAGTCCGTTCATGGATAACACACAAAAATCGCATCAAGGGTATCGTGGACCGTCGAGGCAGAGGCACAAATAATTACGGGTGGGAGGCATGGGAAGCTAGATGGGCTTTGCTGATGGCTCAGATAATGCACCAGGCGGAAATATCATCGTTGATTGTGCCCGATCTTCTGGGATCCGTACCTGATCTCCACAAAACCATATATGCGATGCCTGAGAGAACAATCCCCATTAACGAGCGGCTACGTCCGTGGGAATACCTTCATCATGAGGGCTATTGGTTGCACTGTGCTGCTAAACACACCGCTCGCAGGAGGGAGCTTGCAGAGGGGATTCCGGGCGAGGACCGCGTAGCCCCCGATCAACCCGCCAGCTCGCAATCGCGGAGCAGATCTATTGTGTACGACACATATATTGTTCCCGAACCTTATGACGAATTCCCACTCTCTGACAGGCCAGGGCTTGCTCATTCTAAGTTGATTCTTGATTTTCTCGAAACGGCGATTGAGGACTTTTCCAAGAGACAGCAAGGTCGCATGGTAGAACAACTGAAATTGAAGATGGCTAAGGAGCATATGAGAATAGGAGAGTGGAATGAGGCGTTGGCTATCATACGGCCTTTATGGCCCCATCTGACATGGCGACGGGATGGCTGGTGGGAGCTCATGGAGGATTTTGCCTGGACGTTGAGGGAATGTGCTTTCCATGCCGGAGATGGAGAGACTGTTTTGCGTGTGGATTGGGAACTGTTGAACCTAAGTAAAATCTCTCCCGCTCTCCCTTCCTCTCCCGGCCTTGTCCCTCCCGCTATTAATTTTTCCAGGCTGCAAGTTTACTAATTTGAATACTCTGGTGCAGCTTTTAATGACCGGCAAGGCTGGTGTTATGATATCCATAAAAGCATCGAAAAGCTTCCGGTTGTGAAACCGAAGCCAACTGTGGTACTTAGAGGAGAAGATACCGTTTCCTGCAGTACGTTCCGCAGAGATGAAATTGGATTTAAATTATATAATCAAACTAATATATTGATATATATATATATATATTTGTGCAGTTACGGCATCTTTTTCATTCGAGAAATCACAGGGCAATGTCGGAGAACACTTAAAATCCCAGCTTATTATCAGATCATGTGCTCATGCTGGATCCGCACCGATCCGTCTCACTGAAGTAAAAATCGGTTTTGAAGGAAGTCTTCGGCCTATCAAACTTCTTCCAAGTGGCGATGCAACTTCCAGCTCTTCTTTTCCCAGTGAGATTTTATCTGTTCCGTTACAAGATTCTTTAAATGCGGATGCTTCCACCGTGCAGTCCCCCACCGGTGGTTCACCTTTGATGGTTGGGTTTACCAACCTGTCATTTAGTCCGGGGCAGATACGAGCTTTCAACCTTGTGTCAGTGCCACGGGAAGCAGGTGACGCACGTGTGGCATCAATTACACTGCGGATCGAGGAAGAGAGTTTCGATCTCGCGTATGTCATTGTTGATCAGAGCTGGAACGGGTCGGTCTGGTGGAGGGAAGGAAAGCAAGGGCCCATTTCACGGAGGATAGGGATGGGCAGGGATATTTCGATGGCAAGGATTTTACCGAAGCCTCCGAAAGTCCGCATTACGACTCCCAAGTTGCGAAATCATTACTATACAGATGAGAAGGTTGTGCTTGATGTTCAGATTGATAACGAGGAAGACGATGTTGCTGAGATTGACGTTGAGATAAAGATGTTTAAAGTGTCCGGAACATCAGCGAAGTTTTCATGGATTAAAGAGGCAGATGCCAACTCCGCAACTGAGGATGCAAGTGCTAGTAGCCCAATTACACTACTTGAAGGTGTTTCTTCAACCCTGTCAAAACGCTGCAGGATTGGGACTCTAGCGCGTGGTGCCAGTCATACCGCTTTAGCCCTCTTCACAAACACGAGCGAACCGCTTGACTATGAGATTGAAATATCCGCCTATTATCATCTCGTCTCCGATGTTGAAACACAAATATTCAAAACCGTTTCCCTCGACCTCTCTTTCATAAGACCGTTTGAAGCAAATTATGAATTCTTGCCTCGAATCCATCCCGCCCCCTGGCCGGATTTTTTCCACTATGACGATTCACCATCCGAAGATGACGCAAAAGAACCAAAACATGATGGCCTCCAACAGCTATGGTGTCTAAACTCGAAAATGGTGTCTTTTGCACTGGAACCACTTATCATTGAAGAAGTCAGCGTCGCGCTGCTGAGTGTTACCGCAGGCAACGTTTGTAAAATCGGCAAGGAAATGCTTAAAAGCCCCGAGACACCAGAATTTAGACCCGAAGAACTTCGCGAATCCGAATTTACCGTTGAAATCCAACGTCTCGCCCTTGACGATCGGAGTGCAACAACCGTGAATCTCGCACTCTACATACGATGGCGCAGACCCGACTCCGACTCCGACTCCAACACCACATCTTCAACAACCTCGACCCTTGCCATCTCCCGTTTCCTCGTCCCGCTCGGCGAACCCCGCGTCCTCGCCAGCGCCACACCCTCCCCACAACTCCCAGGCTTCCTGCACCTCGACTACACGCTCGAAAACCCGTCCCTGCACTTCCTCACCTTCAATCTGACGATGGAAGCTAGCGACCAGTTCGCATTCCACGGCCCCAAGAGCACGGCGCTGCAACTTGTGCCGCTCAGCAGGCATACGGTGCGGTATAATTTGCTGGCGTATGTGAGGGGGGCGTGGATACAGCCGCAGCTGTCGGTGGTGGATTCGTATTTCAATAAGACGTTGAAGGTGTTGCCGACGGAGGGTATGAGGGCCGATAAGAAGGGGATTTTTGTGTGGGTTGATGCGGAGGGGTAATGGGATTGTGGATTTTGTGGTTGTGTATGGATGGGTGTTTTGTTGGGGTGATGTGTGTTTTTTGAGGTAGTTAGATGAGTTAATTCATTTGACGGTCCAGGATCTGACTTTAATATATAGCTAATATCCTCTCCTTAGATACGCTGCAAAAGGGAAGGGGTTTTTACGAGAGCTTTTTATTATTCATCTCCTGGATGTTTCGCGGATTATTTTGACAAATATATGTAGATATCAGATTTTGCTGCCTTGCGGGTTTGGCAGAAAGGCTGGAGGAGAAGGGAATGTAGTTGGCAGTGACATAATTTTCAGCAGAGTCCACCATATCTAATACAATATAAAGCCACGCACTCGTTATACTGCGAGTGCGTTATACTGCAATTGAATTTCATTCTGATGAAGGTTGAAGATTGGGGTTTGCTGTATTCGGGGTAGCCCTTATATAGGGGGGTCGTTGTATTCCGGCTCAGCAAACTACTTTCATCCACGGACTAACTTTTCCTATATTTACCATAGCTCCTTTGGAAACAGACATGCCAAATCAGCTTCTAGCTAGTGCACGGAAGAACTAATCGGCGCTACCGTTCGTTGCAGGATATCTCAAATGGACTGGATATGCGGATTGCCCGAGAAGTAGTTATATTCTTCTTCTCTTTAAAACGGCTCTAGCTGTGTCTCTGTAACCAGGTGTAGGAATGACATGGGGTAGTTGAAGCAGGGCTTCCAACGCGGGAACATACTCAGTCCAGCTAGGCGCAGTTGCACAGCTTTTCGGCGTCCGAACCCCCCTGCTGCTGTTTTTCAGTGGAGAGGGTTGAATGTGGGTTCTTCGCGTCAGAGCCCCAGGTCAATCCGCTGGGTAAACGACTCGACAAGGAAATGTGCTATGCACGGTAAGACCGCATATCTCTCAGTTTCGCCCTGTTCAGCCACGGGCAACATTAAACCAACCCTTCCTCTCGGCGTCTCCAGGTATTCGAATCGCTCACAGAAATGCAATCCCCATCACCTTCTCTGCCTGGGACCGCGTCCAGTGGCTATTACGCAGCCCCGGGTTATTCCTAACCCCCGGTGTTGAAATCGAAGGTGATAACTATTCCAAGTGCTGAGCAAAAGCTTTGTGCATTAAGGTCATGTTGGTCAGAATTCAGCGGCGCTCCAATGTTAGTCTCGTGCAGGCGCGGGGATCGACCCCGAAGGCCAACCGGACAGCAGATAGCAGCCCCTCGAAGCGGTCTCGCTGGGCCGTTCATTGGGTGATTCCTTAGATGATGTGCAGCCCATGATCGAATCCGGCGTGGATCTTAAATCTTTTTACACTGTGACGTCCAGTGAGCTGCGACTTGACAGTTGCTCCACTTCGGCGGCGAAAAGAGTTAAAAGTAGGTCGCCCCCGGGCCGGTTCCAGAACCTTATTCGTTGAGCAGCCCCTGAAAAGCCAATTGAATATCTCGAGCGAGAACAAGAAGCCGTTGGCGCATTCGATGACACGATTTAAACAACACGTCTCTGAATTTGAAATGGAGTTCCCGTCTCCGGTCGACTTGATTAGAATCTCTTTATTGTGTCTAACTGGCTGGCCATGCCGCTGTACACTGGCTCTCTGCACTTGCAACCGTAATCTAAAAAGGTTTCTACAACCGCATATCAACAACCAGTTCGATAGTCACATAAATATAAAGAGAGAGTCATCGTCGTCATATACGTTAGATGTGTTTGACTGTTTCCTCAAAATAATTTACTACACAATCACTCTCTATCCGCTCTGGTCAAATAATGATGTCAAATCCATCAGCCGTCCATCGCTCGGTCGACCCAAGCAGCAACCAAATTCCTTTTGTCTCCGCGGCCAAAAGTCTTCATGGAAAGATTTGGGTTATTCTTCACAATGGCACGGCTGAGAAACGTCGCCAAGACCTTGCGGCGGGGGGATGTCTTCTATCTGCATGACAGCTCTGTGGAATTGGAGCTTGATGCTGCCATCAGCAAGAAGATAAAAGATATTTGGCAGCCCGCTGAGCGCCGCGGTTTGGCAACAATACAACCCTGCACAGGAAAAGGGGGGGGGGGGGGGGGGATGGATGCGGGCGAACACGCATATTCCGCATAATACAGACATACTTCTCGCCCCCGGGACACCTGCTGGAGCCATCTAGGTGACGGGGAAAGGGCTGTGTGCTATTGTTGAGAGAGCTATGGCGAGTTCAGCCTCGTCGTATGGTGTTTGGACACATCCACGCAGGTTGCGGAAAGCGGTGGGCACGATTCGACGATGTGGAGACGAGCTACGAGAATATATATATATATATATATATATATATATAGAACCATCCGTGGCCGCTTTTAATCTGTTTGCGATGGCTTGGAAGGTCATTTGTCTCGTGTTTGTTCGGGGGATTTATCGAAGGAGCAGGAATCCATCGAAATGCAGCCAATTGGTGAACGCTGCGGTCAGATACGGTCGAGAGAAAAGAGAACCGACCGTTGCCTTCTCATGAAAACATGCTAGTTTGATTGAGTTCTCGATAGCCCATTCTCCGTCGTCACTACATCCTGTATCCTTCCGTGATCTATGCGGGACCGGTGAATATGCTGCCGTCAATTACATCAATCGCGACTTAACTCCGCCGCATGATAAAAGTCCATCAGGTGCCTGACTGTAGGAACTCTATGATTGTTCGATTGCAGGCGCTACCCCTGTTTCCAATTCTATGAGACGTCCCAGCGGTGAACACTAGGAGAACCTCTCGGGATCCTGCTGTCGGATGGATACGAACCTCGTTCGTCACCAGGCGCTGCTCGCATACTCCACAAATTCAACGTGGTAATGGATGTCCCGGAAATAACTATAGCTGTTTGGAGCATTCCAGTTTTCCAGTGCAGGGAGGTTTCCGAAAGTTCGCTGCGATGTCATGGCATTCCAAACTTTCTCATTCTGGGTGATTGTCGATTGGTTTGCTGTTTCCGCAAAGTAGTAGTAATGGACATACATGCAGTTGGCCACCATGTGTATCCAAATCTACCTGGCATATAGCAACATGTTCTCCGGTGATGGGCCGTTCAAGAGCTTTCATTTTCTTATTTTGTCCTTAAAAATAGATCATTTCCCCCAAACACATAGAGCGTTAATAATAGCATCGGGTCAAGACTATCCGCCGTCGCCGTCTAGAACCGCTCTATGCTCGCTAAAATACTGCCGTCAATCAAAGATCTGGCTTTTGGGGCTCATCATGTGGAAATCAAGCAGGGAAAAAAAAGCAGAAGAGGAATAGAAAAAGGAAGCAAGATTTTTAATTCAAATGAGGACCTGATACGAATTTGCATATAAGCGATATGAGTACTGCGGGATAACTAAGAGTTTAAACTTCAATTCTGATCTAATTAACACCGCACATAATTTGGAAGCTCAATTCACGGTGGATGCTCAGTCGTATTAGCACAGTTCGCTGTTCTTCGGTTCCATTAGGGGCACGGTGGGCCCTGTAACCGCTGTAGTAATCAACCCCAAGGTTTCCATGTCAAGTCCAACATCTCCACGAGAGCCGTATCTTATAGGGCCTCAGCCCCCGCAACTCCAGTGGAGGTATCCGTGAAATGACCAACTAATATAATCACTACTCTCGCAGTTAAAATAAAAGATAGTTAGTTCCATGATTTTGGTGTGTTCCATCCTCGAACCTGAAATATAAATTTCAGCCGTTTTCAGCCCTCCTAATTTTAGTACTTGTCCCTGGATAGTTAACTGGAGCGGGCTTATTCGTTAACTAAATATGACCTCGGGAACTGGGGGATATTCCCACTAAACTGGAGGAGAATATGCCAAAAGACACCCCACATGCTGCAACGGTTCCGTTTCCTGGCACGAAGAAGCTAATGAAAAGCGTTCAAAAGAAAAAGTGTTGATGCGTTGACTCGTCCTAGAATGTTATTAATATAATATTAGGAGTTTGGATTCTTGTTTGTTGGCTCCAACCTTCCCAACGTCTAACCGTTTATTTATCAGCTACCCAAGGCCATAATTTCCCATGCGCGCTGAACGAGGAACCCGCTTCTCGAGATTATCTTATCTCTCTCTCTCTCTCGCTGTTCTCCTCTTTTAATTCCTCCTTGGACTCCCCTTTTCTAGTTCCATCCATGTGATCAATTATCATTCCAGTCCTAGTTTTACTGCGTGTTTGTTCTTGGCTAAAGTTTTAACATCATCACCCGAATATCCCGAACCACATTAATCTCATTTTTGTATAAGTAGCTCTCTGTAAGTAACCCTAATATATCTGTTAATCCCAGGAATCGCCACATCGCGGTGTGTGACTTAAATCAAGACCAGGTTCCTGGTTCCCTTTGGTAGCATGGAGAATCCGCTGCCGCCGGGCGCGGCGACCCAAAAACTCGACGCCCAGCTGGTAGACGGTAAGCGCGATGCCCCCCCCTTTTCCCCTTGACGTTCCCGTCCGATATTTTTTATGCACCGTATTCTCTATGTATGCATGCAATGCTTGATATCTGACAATTGACACTGACCTTTGACTCCATCTCGATCCAGCTGCCGCAACCGCCAATCCCGAAAAGAACATCTGCCCGGTAGTCCCTGAAGGCTACGAACATGTCCGTGACACCTCAAAGGGCTACGGAAACGGACCTGGGATCATCAGTCTGAGTGAGCATCTCGAAGTCATCTGCGGTCCCCTGCTGAACTACAAGGGCCTCTCAGATGCAAACCAGGAGCGCCCTACCTGGCATGGCACAGTGTTACTGGTCACAAACCCAGGCCAAAAACAGCCAGTCCTTAAATTACGCTCCTTAGGCCGAACACACTGCTCTGCTTCTACTACTGGTGCTGCTGGTGCTGGTGCTGGTGCTGGTGCTGGTGCTGGAGTAGATGCTGGTGCTGGAGTAGATGCTGGTGCCAGCGCTCAACCGCACATCAACGGCAATGCATCACAGGATGGCAGCCAGGTAACCTCCATTCAGGGCGTCAAGCTCTTGGAAGACCCTATCAAGGCCTTCTGGCGATTCTCCATCGCCGTCCCAGTACAATCTGAAGAGACCCGCTGGGAATACTCCATTCCGCGATTCCACTACTTCAATAGCAAAGAAGCCTTGCCCTCGTGGAATTTCGTTGTCCCCGCAGCAAATGACTCGATACGCATCGTGTTCCATTCCTGTAATGGCTTCTCCATCGGAACAAATATGGATTACTGGCATGGCCCCACGTTGTGGAATGAGGTTCTGCGCTTGCATGACCGACGACCTTTCCATTTTATGATTGGGGGTGGCGATCAAATCTATAATGATAGCATCAGGGTCGATGGGCCGTTGAAAGCTTGGACGGATATTTCAAATCCACGTAAGAGAAGGGCTCATCCATTCCCCAACAAAATGAGGGATGGATGCGACCGCTATTACTTCGAAAATTATTGCAAATGGTATGGGATGGAGCCGTTTGCGACCGCAAACTCACAGATTCCTCAAATCAACGTCTGGGATGATCATGATATCATCGATGGATTCGGTTCGTATACCGACCATTTCATGAAATGCGCCGTCTTCCGTGGAATTGGAGGCGTTGCGTTTAAATACTACTTACTGTTCCAGCACCATGTAGCTCCGCCCAAGTCTACGTATACTACTGATTCCCCTGAAACTATGACTGCAGTCGACGGTACCTCTGGCGCTGATCCTAGGCAGCTGGAGCACACCTACGTCTATAAAGAACCCGTGGAGGATCCGAGCTTCATTACGGGCGGACGACCAGGACCGTATGTGGAAGAGCGGAGCAGGAATCTATACATGCGTCTGGGACGGCGCATGGCATTTGTTGGGATTGATGCCCGCACGGAGCGTACCCGTCATCAAGTCAACTACCCAGAAACCTACAACCAGATCTTCTCCCAACTTGAGCACGAGCTATCCGAATCCAACGGCAAAATCAAGCATCTAATCCTCCTTCTAGGCGTTCCGATCGCCTACCCCCGCCTGGCCTGGTTGGAAAACATAATCAGCTCACCCTTAATGGCACCAATCCGCCTCCTCAACAAACGCTTCGGCGTTGGCGGCAACTTCTTCAACAAATTCGACGGCCAAGTCGACCTCCTCGACGACCTGGACGACCACTACACAGCGCGCCAACATAAACGCGAGCGCCGCGAAATGATCCAGCGCCTCCAACATATATCCCGCAAGTTCTCCGTCCGCGTCACCATACTAGGCGGAGACGTTCATCTTGCTGCCCTGGGCCGCTTCTACTCCAACCCACACTTTAACATCCCCATCGAACACGATTTCCGCTTCATGCCCAACATCATTAGCAGCGCCATAACCAACAAACCGCCCCCCAAGGCCGTTGCCAACCTGCTCGCGCGCCGCAACAAAATCCACCACATGGACCGCGACACGGACGAAACGCTCATGAAGCTTTTCAATCTTCCACCTGGCGGCAAGGAGAAGTGCGCCGCGTCGAATAAGGTGACGATGCCCTCGCGCAACTTTGCGTGTATCACGGAGGTGGCGCTTGTTGGCGCAGTGAATGGAACTGCGGATGTGGCCGAGACGGCACCGTTGGCGACGGCGAAGGATGGGCATGCGCCGTTGCATGCTGGGGAGGAGGATGCCGGGACGACGCATCGTGCAGCTGATGGGGTTAGCAATGTGAGTGGCATGATTGGGGGGCTTGATGTTTCTATACGGGTTGAGATTGATGCGGCGGATCAGACGGGGAGGACGGAAGGGTATGGGTTTAGCGGTAAGTGTCTTATTTTTCTTTTCGTATTATCTCGTTCACCCATGCGGTGCTCGGATTCTTCGTTTCACTGAATCGCTTTGGGGTTTATCTTATATGTGCTTGATGCTAATATAATTTTTGAAACAGTGCCACCATTATCTATCCCAGAGAGCAATCGAGTGAGTAATCAATCGTCTCGCTCACATCGTTTCCATTTCCCCCGTCATCTCCACTCCTCTCATAGCGTTTCCTCTACGCCCCAAGTTACCATCAACGGCCCTGCCACTACTGCTCCTCTAGTGTCTACACTTTCTCATGTTTCTGACCCCCCTGGCCCCCCTTCTACTGCTACAAGTGAGGCTGCAAAAGATAAGCAGGACATGTGATGAGAAAGCAGGGAAAAGATTTGAATATATACCCATGTAGGTAATGTGTATTAACAGATGGTAAGGGTAAAAAATGTGGGATATGTAACTGTTGGATTTTGGTTAGGAATTTTTCCCCGTTTACTCTTCCTTTTCCTTTTCCCCTATCTGCATCAATTTATCTATTATTATCTATCAATTTTGGATAGTAGCCACCTAACGTCAAAATGGCTCGTTCTAATGCTTAACATCATATCATCCACCCTTTTTTTTATATATTTTTATTGGTTTATCATTTGTCGCATGTTATTAGTATTACCCATTCGTCTTCCGTACATTTTGCCATGTCCCCAGTTTTTCATCTCCCTACTTTGGTCCCAGTTCCACCCTCTCTTTCTCTCCATCTCATCAAGGATATCTAATATTTTTACGCATCATGCTTCCCTATGATTTTTTTTTTTTTGTCATGCCATTTCCATTCCCCCTCTCTTTTCCTTTTATCTCTTTGAATGTGCACAAAAGCAAATCTTCTCCCTATTTTCAGCTTACTCCGCTTCCTTTTCGTAAGTTTTATATGGCAACTCTATTTTTGGCTGTTGTTATGCTTATATCTCATGACCTCTCCTATGACTCTTTGGAGTTTTATCGCCTGTTGTACAATAGTAATTTCCTGGGGTTTCCAACGTTGATTTCTTTTTGTTAATGGTGAAGGCGGGGGAGTGGACATATATTTTCATTTATGATCTTGGCTCATTAAATTTTTATTCTGCGCCTTTATCTATCTTCCTTTCAATTTATATATTGATCTTTGAATCTGCCTGAGTGTATGCCTTTCTGTTAATGTTTTCGGGATATTAAATATGGCTGGCGACTACCTCAAGTTATGTTGTATTTTATTTCATGAGAACAAGCAAGAGATCCTTTGAATATGCCAAAAGGAACAATGCCCAGTCCTAACACAGTACACGGTTCGAAAACTGACTCCGTTGATAATCTATCAAGGATTCTATTCTTACATTAGAAGCAAAATCACCTTCTGTCACAAATCTATCTACCACCCCCCAAAATCCATCCCCACCCCCTTTCCTCCTCCCTCCTCTTCTTCCTCTTCTGCTCCGCCCTCCTCTCCTTCCACAACCACCCAATCAAAGCCCCCGCCGCATATCCTCCCAAATGACTCCAATGATCCAGCATGGGAATCGCAAACCGAATCGGCAGCGGTGCCACCGAGGCAATCTCTGCAAGCACGATGACGATTAGGAATGTCGATCCCTTAGCGGAGAAAGCATCTTGCCATGATTGTGGGAGGAATGCGATGGTTAGTTTGTCGCTGTGGGTGTGTTAGTATGATACAAAATAAATGAATGAATCAAAAGGAACGGATTATGGTGGAGTTGAGATGTGGAGGACGCATACTTTGAGTGGATTATGCACCAGGCGGCGACGAGGCCGGCGATGGCGCCGGAGGCTCCGAGGGAGGTTACACTTAGTTTGTTTTGGAGGACATGGACGGTTAGAGAAGTTAGGGAGGCGAAGACGCCGGAAGATAAGTAGAGGGAGAGGAAGTCACCGCGGCCGAGTTCTTGGTGGACTGGTTGGTTTTGTTGTTGTTAAGATTTGGGTTTTGTTCTCATATATAATACACGAATGTATGAAATTTGTCATATACAGGGGTTCAGGGATCGGGAACACTCACTTCTCGTCCCAACAAACCACAAAATCAACATGTTGGCAGCCAAATGTTGGAATTGCTGGTGGCTGAAGACGCTGCCCACAACGCTTATCGAGTGAGGGTACAGCGGAACGCTAATGAAGTAGCGGTTCAGCATCCTCCAGGAGGGAGGGAAGCCTCTCCAGAGGGCGAAGATGAGGAAGTTGGCGCCGATTAGGCCTATCACAGTTGCTGCAGCTGGAGGGGTATCGCGCATCAGGCGCTCGTGGGGAGCTGGCGGTTTGTAGTTTTCGGCGAAAACGTAGCAGAGGCCAAACGTGATGAGGGCGATGGCTAGTGAAGGAATGGTTCGGCTAGCCTGTTGATTTCATTTTGTAGTTAGAAGATTTTGTGTTTGTGCTTGCGATTTCGGTTTATATTTTTACCTTGGTGAGTTTCGAGACATCCCAATCATCTGCTGTAGCTCGAAGGTGATGCTTTTGTATCCAAGCTAGTGCTGGACGAGTAGTTGGGTCCGCACGAGGTTTAGCTAGAGTTGCCAAAAGAGAGTTAGAAATGAAAGTATATCGCAAAACGCAATGCAGATATATATTACCCATAATTATATCATACCTTCCAGGACAACCGACTCTCCCAACTTCTGCAACTCCGTGCTCCTCTGAACACTCCGCTCTAACTTCTCTCGATCCTTCGCTTCGCCCTCCAACCACTCGCGAATCTCCCGTTCTTCCTCCAATTTATTCTTCCGTATATTTTCCTCCCTTTTCTCCAGCAGCACGCTCTTCCCGTAAACATCTCCCTCCTTCTCTATCGGCTTATCGAACTTCCCGCTCTGCGGCTTATACAGGCCCAGCTCCTGTCCACGGCGAATAAGCCTTCGCTCCTCCTCAATTTCTTCTCTTTCAATCCGCTTTAAAATCGCCGCATCCTCATCCATGGGGTATTTTTTCCGCAACCACTCCAAGCCCGCCATAACCGTATCCTCTGACACAACCTTCATGATATCAGCGGGGAGATCGACATCGATAGTTCCATTTACACGGCGCTCTTGTAACAGGCGGAGCATCCTATTCCCTAACGGAACTGAGATTCCTTGTCCATCTCCAAATATCCGCGAGATCTCTAAGGAAGAGAGATCACGGTGTCGAAATCGGATGCCATCTTCATGTTTTTTTGGGGGAATAGAACGTCTGGCGGCCCTGGCGGCGGGGGAAGCGGAAGACGTGAAAGATCGGAACGGGGAAGGAATATGACGGGAGAGGCATGATCGGGAGATCTCCGTAGGTTTAATTGGATGCAACACAAACTGGGTCTGTAAGATGGTGCTCCGTATCTGACCCTCGGGGCATATTGTTTTGAGCAAGGCGGCGGAAGAAGCATGGGGAGTGGGCGGCGAACGAATGCCCAAGCACGATATTCGCCATGCTATCGAGAAAACATTGCTCATCTCCCAAAACACAAGAGGGTTCTCATCTGGTTGTTCCAGGGGGCCTCAATGTCGTGGGTTGAATATGTAGAATGTAATCATTAACTGAGCTTCTTCGGTGGAAGAAATGAAATTTGGTGGAGACAGTTGGACCTTCTGCCGAACGGTTAATCTTGTTAGAATTAGCCGCGATTGGCGCGCAATGAACTGTAAATAATTGCCGTGCGAACACTACACGTTACAATGAATATACTTCATGCAACATGGTTAAAGCGACTTACCTCTTGCAAATCACTTCTGAGAACTGATTCTTTTAGTATAACACCCCACTTCTTTTAACTGTAGGCAAAAATTGTCCCCAATACGTCATCCCACTTCATCTAGTTAGTTAACTCCCAAGCTTCTCTTTCAGTGCTTTGAATAGCACAGCTCTTCCCACATATCTCAACAACCAATCACTCTCCCACCCAGGCTACCGGAGTACACAACCCAGTTACTCCCCTACTATTTATCAAGCAATCGTCCAAGCTTTTACTATCCTATCCATCCATCTAAACAACTCTACCATCCGCCCTATCTCACCCTACCCTAAGCAAGGCCCATCTCTCATCCTCAAAAATCATACCAGAAATCAAATAATCATGTCCTCCACATCCCTCCCCATAACGCCCCAAGCCTTCGCCGAAGCCCTAAAATCTCTTCCACTCTCCTCCCTCTACGCCAAGGGCTCCGAACTCCGCAACTCCATCGCCCACCTGCAGCGCTCAAACGATGAGCTGGCACGCTATATGGCTGAAGAGGCACCCGATGGCCGCGATAAGGATTGCGAAGACGCCATTCGGGAGAATGAGGAGGTTGTGGTGCACATGCGGGAGCGAATAGAGTTGCTGAAGGTTGAGGTGGAGGGAAGGGGGCAGATATGGAGTGAGGAGTTGGAGATGGAGGTGGGGATTGCTGGTGGTGCGGATGTAGAGCCTGTGGGGATGGAGGCTGGGAACGAGGTGGATGGGCATAATGAAGCGAGAATGACGGCAGAAGCTCCATCTACTGCTTCTCGGAGGAGCACCGCTGGGAATAGTACTGAGCAGAATAATGACGTGGAAGGACAGGGTGGGATATATCTATGAGCTCCCTTCTTACCCTTTGTGGTAGCTTTCTACTGGGAGGGGACGATTATTTACGATGCTACACCAAATATATGACGATTGCTACCCAAACTCTCTCTCGTGGGCCTAATTTCATGCGCCCATGCTCTCCTCCGTCATGAGCTGCTCTTGTTTCTGCAGCATCAACTCGGCAGCGAAGCTATGGTGCTTGGGACATTTTATGGTGGAGATCGGTGTAGCACAAAAGATATGTCAATTTGGTCCATGGGCAAAATGCACGAGTTTCAGCTGCTTAGGGTCGAGGGAGCGGAGTGAGAACGACTGTACGGGAGAGTATTTTCTGTGGGAAGGAGGGAAGGTTGAACATGTTTCTAACTAAGGCTCAAGACGAAGAAGGCCTATGAAAGCAGAATTTCCTTATTTCGTCTATGGAACTTGACGCGTGGTTGGTATCGTTTCGTTCCACTTCAGTTAAAATGGTGGACTGTGTCCCATTTCTATCAGTTGCGGAAGCTTATCCTCACGACAACTGATGGGACTTGCAAATGCAGAGGACCGACTCCTGGAACCCAAAGTACGAGTTGAGATTACTGTAGATCATTAATCGTTATCATCCGACTACACCTCAAAAGGTTTGATTTAAATTGCTGGCTAGCTTAAAAAGTAGCTAAGGTATGTATCAAAAATCAAAATATTTATATGAAATGTAATAGCCATGATCCATTGCATATGTGACGCAAGGAGAAGAGAAAAGAGGGTGCAAAATAGTCGAACGAAAAATAAGGAACCAAGTGAGAAAAATTGACATGCCTGCTTGTCGTTGCAGAAGAACAGAACAAAATATGAAATATGTGAAAATCAAGGGCAAATGCATTGTTGCTTTCAAAACACCACTAAGAGTATAAAACGAGACAAAATAAAAACCGTCATTGGCTAGTCCTTCCTTAAACCTCCTAGAAAGTTATAAGTGACAAAAAATGACACCATGTAATATAACGCCCAAGACATTATGATATAGTTGTTCGCTGTTGAAGTCGTATTTAGTCTTCTAATTGGAAGAGGGGTTCGTTGGAGACGTTAAAGCATTGGGCTGCTGCGCCCAGTGACCGGCCAGAGCTTCGGGGGGGATCTTCTCTTGTTTGATGAAGAGGTCAATCAATGGCTGCATGGGTTCCATTTCCTTGTTGGCAACAAGTTTGTAGTACTTTGCCACAGTCACGAAATGTACAAAGCACATGTTAAGGACTTCGTGCTTGTTGATGTGGAAGAAGGGATTCTCCCAGTGGCCATGGTACAGATGTGCGTAGCAGCGGAACATCTGTTTCATGATTCCCTGGCAATCTTTGTAGAAAGTTTGAGGGAAACCGCTGCTCTTTCCAATCCAATCTTGGTCACCTCCGTTTGGTAGGGTGATGGCGTTAGCAGCACTCGCATTACTCGATACGACTAGTGTAGCTCCGTTGTTGTTCTCGGTAGGAAACATGACTGGATCATGGATTTTGCTCACGATCCACTTTTCAACCCTGTTGATGAACTTTGGTGCAGATATCCTGGCCGCTCTCCCATCGACCAGCCAGGTGTATGTGAGACTGTCAAAGAAACGGAGCCAATATTAGCACACGACAGTTGGAGCATTTTGTGGGATAGACGGGTTCAACTTACCGGCCTGCTGACATAGTAGGACATGTCGTTTCATTGCAAATTGGAAGGCCAGTTATTCCATTGATTTCCTGAATGACCTGTAGCATGCTATGAAGGAGGCGGTTTTGCTCGACAACTAGGAACACTTGACATTAGCAAGGAGTCCTGCAATGGACAACAGGAAGAGCAATAATTTCGAAAGTACCCAACATGAGACATACTCTGATGAGCCAGCCATTCGCCAAGCTCGACATTCTTTGGGCAGGCACAAAGAGTCAAAAAGTTGCCTTTAACGTTGAGCGGCGCATATTTCTCCTGAAAGAAGTACTTGACAGGTTCGTTGTCGTTAGCGGTGTTGTCGACGCTGAAGGTGGAGGAGATGGAAGGAGAATTCATAAGGCCCGGCGTATTCGAGGGATGTGATGCTGGCGAAATATTTTGTCCACCGTCATTCAATTTAGGAGGGGTGTTGTGATTGTTATTGTTATTTCTGTTGGATCCTCGACCAAATCCCTGGCGACTATTGTTGTCACACAGCGAACCAAAGTCAGTATGGGATGTTTTAAATAGGTTTCAAATACTAGTAACCACGACAATCATAAGGTATTGTAGGCTGCTGCGCTTAGGCTGCATGGGAGAAGGTGTAGAAAGGGAAAAGAAACCCCGACTGTGGGAAGAGACAGACCAACCGCAGCATCCCTGAGGCCTGACTGGCAGGTCAACGAGAGGGCGGGACAGCTGCTAACTTACACGCTTTGGAAGAAAGTAGCCATGATTTGAGAGCACCGCACCGGGGAAATTGGATCTCAACGCACAATAATGGCTGCCAGAACATCCCAAGTCAGCAATTAGGGTTGCTGACACTGCTAAGACAGGTATTTATGCCCGGAACTGAGAGAGAAAGTTTCGATGGTTTTTAAAGGTTGTTAACACTTCGATGCGGACGAAATCTAAAAAATGGGACTTGTCCCTGTCACGTGTCAGGGGCGGTAAATTGACCGGAGAGGATTATCTATTCTTCCAGAATAAGCTGGAGGCCTGCCATATCGGGTTTAGCGTCTTGGCCTCAATCGCAGTTTGAATAAATGACCAAGAGAGAAGAAAATAAAAGAATGACGCAGTCAGTGAATTGGATGCTTGGAGTCTACCGGCTTTACGTCGCAAAACAACACGGCTACGCGTTAAAAGGGAGCTACTGCCTTTTCTCCAGATACTCTCTGTTCAGAATTTGAGGTACTCCTTGAAGTATTCGACAAAGTTGGCGGGGTACATCTCGTTATAAACCATACGCATCTGCGGAAACGAGCTACGCCTCTGGGCCAGCACGCCGCCATGCCCTCGGAAGACGATGTCCAGAGTCAAAGTTCGGGGGAGAATGAACGAGAATATGCCTCTGATGCCTCCGAGAACGGCGAAAATGGCGGTTTGAATTTCGACGATGAGCAGATTCTGGGGGATGACGATGCTGACCTATTTGGGTCTGGCTCAGAGGAGGAGCCTAAGGAGTGCGTTTTCTTTTTTCCTGCTCTTTATGATAGGAAGTTATGTCTAACGACATAACAGACACAGGCGACGGGGACTTGATGATGAGGAACTGGATTCGGGCGACGATGAGGGCCGTTATGACCGGCAGGGTTCTCCCATGGATGAGGATGGAATTTACTACCCAGAATCGTTAAATGTTATGGACCTCAGTCTTAGCCGTGTGCCAGAGCCGGAATCTACAGACGGAGAGGTATTATCACTTCTCAAGCTCCACATTTTGGCATCCCGCCTTAGATATTATACTAAACTAGCGCCTAACAGGTGTATACCTTGGCCATGCCAAATTTTCTGGCCATTGAGTCCGAAGACTTCAACCCGGAAACATATGTTGCTCCACCCTTTAACTCTGCGTCGACATCCCTATGTTGGCGCTATGATCCAAATGATGGAGAGACACTTCAATCTAATGCTCGCGTCATCCGCTGGTCAGACGGTTCTTTGACACTCCAGCTGGCATCGAACCCAAAAGAGCAATATCGAATGCCATCCAAAAGGCTGGCTCGCCCTAACACCGTGCGCAAGACTGCTGATTATGACTCTGAGCTGGACTCACATGCCTATCTTGGAGCTGCGGCAGAAGCTTCATCAGTATTCCGTATTACGTCACACCTTACTTCGTCTCTAAGTATCCTTCCAACCACAGTCGAAACCGACGATGCTGTTAAACGGCTAAAGGAATCTCTGGAAGCTGCGTCGAGGGGTGCTAAACGGAATGCTGATGGCACTGTTACTGTGTTTGACGTTGCCGAAGACCCAGAGCTGGCAAAGAAACGAGCAGAGCTTGCAGAGCGTGAGAAATTGCGAGCAGATCGTAAGCGTCAAATGGCTGCAGACCGTGATCTTGACCGTGGAAGACGTGTGGGCATCTCCTATAGAACCGGAGGAGGTGGTCTTACCGTTGTTGGATTGGAAGGCGATGATGAAATGTTGACCACCAAAGCCCGTGGTGCGAAGAAACCTAAGCGGAGACCTAACCGTCGCGGGGAGATCTACTCTGACGAGGAAGACGAATATGATCGAAGAGGGCGAACCAGGGAAGATGAGTATGACAAAGACGATGGCTTCCTGGTCGGTAGCGATGAAGAGCCGGAAATTGTGGAAGATGACGAAGAGGAGGAAGAGGAATTAGAAGACGAAGATGCAGATGCTGAGGGCGAAATTGACGAAGAGCCACTGCAGAAGCCATTGAATCGAGAAACTACGCCAAAGAGGCCTCTAGAGGAAACGTTAGAGAAGAGTGCTGATCCTGAAACCGGCTCGCCTCATTCCAGGAAGAAAAATCGATATGTCGTTGACGACGACGAAGATGACGAGTAGTCAGACTTCCGCATCCGGAAATGAATGCCTCGTTCATCAGGTTCTCCCTGATTCTCTTACCACCTCAATCCCTTCGTCTTACCCCTATTTCTGGGAAATTCTAAAAGGAGCCAAATGAAATTTAACCTCATCCCACCCCAGCTATGCAGAACTACATCCACCTTTCTCCTGAACCCTTCTTTCCAAACGCCCTGTTCTGGGCGTGTCAGCCTTCTGCAGTTCCACCACGAATCTCCTTGGGTGTTAACACCTGCTTCCCATGTACAATATTTCTGTTTTACCAGCGAATTTTTTCTTACACATGTTTATTTGACGCCACCAGAGGATAGCACTAGTCTCCAGCACAGCGTTTCAACAAAGGGGGGCAAAACCCCCCAATGCCAAATCTTTCATGATAGAAATGAGATCCAAATCAAAATAGCAAAAAGTTTAAAACAAAAAAAGGCACAACTAACTGACAGATATGTCATTGGACCATGCATTGATTCTATTTCCAGGGAGTTCTAACTTCTCCAGCTAATAAAATAAGCAGCTAGTTGCAATATTATGCCAGGGTTCTCCCCCGGCACATCTTTCTCTTCTCTCATATGGATGGCAGTCATCAATCTTCTGGATCCATTCGATTCTGCTTCTCATGCCTACCCTAGCATGCAACATGACAACAAGGCAACAATACACGACGTGGTTCTATAACCTCCTATCCCTCCATCCCTGACCGGCCGACAGCTCCCCGAATACTGGCAAGCAAGGAATCCCTGTGACCCTAACTGACCACCTCGCATCCTTCTATTTCCCCGTGGCATCACCTTATCGTATAACCCCCCAAACCGTAAGCATGCATGCATGCATGCATGCTTACATTATTTTTATTCTCCAAAAGGCTGACATGCCTGGCAGTCTTTGTTATACTGGAAACTCAACATCCTCCCTCCATCCCTCAGGTCCCCGAGGTCAAACCATCATTTGTTCCGCAAGACGATCGTCGACATGTAATCTTCACATCAACCCTCCGGCCCCATTTTGATCTTCATTCGCTTACTCGGGGTATATAGATAAGGGAAAAGTGGATTGATTAGCTTCCTACACGTCCTTTTCCTGCTCTCTTGTTTTCATCCTTCTGTTTCCTTCCTTCCCTTCTCTCTATCTTTTTATTGGTCGATCGTTACATTGTTCCCCCCCCCACCCCCGGGCGGGGGTTCTCAAAACGCAAGGATATTTATCACAAAAACAGAGCAGGGCAGGGCGAAGCGAAGCGACACAAAACGCAGCGAAGCGAAGCAAAGCATTGACCAGGGTCATCATATTTGTGTTGATCAGCGGGAAAATGGGAGTTAAGAAAACGATTAGAATGGTGCTCCATAGTAACAGTGGGAGTTCCCGGGATGCTGAAAATGAACCCCTCAAAATAAGCTTTAGCCGTTATCTGACCAGGGCCTCCCCCCTTTTAATCCACTGTTTTTCGGCTTTAGGTTGGTGATGGGGGCCAAGGTGCAGGTGTACTTTATTTTATAGTTTTTTTTTTAAGCAAAGGAATCCCTGCACGGCTCTTCCCTTTTACATACATAGCCTGGCTAAGTTTATTTCGTTGAAAATTGAGTGTTATCCCGGAGCTATGCATCCGTGATGCTTCTTTGAACGTTTTATTGCGTGAGATTATTTATAGAACCGGAACGGCGGCTTGAGTTTTGCCGAAGAAGTGAGATTGAGAATGAGGCGGGATAAATCATATTTAGAAGAAACTGATTACTTTTCTTTTCTTTTCTTTTCTTTTCTTTTTCTTTTTTCTTTTTTCTTTTTTCTTTTTTCTTTTTTCTTTTTTTTTTTTTTTTTTTTTTTTTGATTTCAAGGGAGAGGGGATTTTTGTTTTTACTTTAGGCAATGATGCTAACAGAAACGGCATGGGACATCACCCGTCCGTTCATCGACAAGATTTCCAGCAAATAAGAGATAGACATGCACAGCCACATGTGGAGAAGGAGGAGGGGAATGGCGGTTTACAACAGGGGATATTTTCTCCTCAGCATGCAGTTGAATACTATACACCGACATTTGCCATCCTCCCTCGAGTGAGGAAATTGAAAATGAGAACCTGGTAAACCACTGGACCCTGCGTTTGAAAATATGGAGACCGCACTTCGAACCACCCAACAACGTCCCCCCGGCATCCTCTTTTATAATAGAAAGGTAGGATGCGAAACCAATCCCAGGTCCATCCCAGGTCCCGGCAAAGGCAAGGAATGTTAACAGGGAACAAAAGGTAAGATCATCATATATCAAATTTACCGAGAATTGAAATTGTGAAAAAAAAAGAAGGGCAAAAAACTTTATAGTTCTAATTCACTCCTCACGGCACAATTTAACAATGCCAAAGACGCAGTATTGCCCGGATGGTTTTTTAACATGGTCCAGATCTTTGCAACCTCCGTCATCATGAGAACTCGCGGCGCGCAAAATGGCTTCTCGCCACGTGGACATTTAGTGTTGCACAATGGCGCTCTGCCATACCACCGGTTGAAAGCAGGTAGAGGACAATAAGGGAGAATTTCCTGATCGCTTGCTTTCTTGCTTTCTTTTTCTTGTTTTGGAGATCTCGATTAGAGTTGGAACTAAATTATCGCATGTTTAAAACGTTAGTCCGTAGATGCTAAATGTAATATTGGAGGCAAGAAATGCTTCGAGATGGACACTAATTTCTTACGGGGCAATCTGCTCTTGACGAGACTTATTGGAGTTTTTGGAACCTTTAGCGTTTTCGGTCTAAATCAGAAGTCAGTGAAGGCGAAATGAAACCCTTAGCAGAATTCGATTGGTGGAACTCTGGCAGGAATCAATTGAGGATTTTACTCACATCTCCACGCCCAGGATATTAAAGCTCTTGGGAGATTCAAATAAGCTCATTACACAACAGGGAACCAAGTCCCACCCAACTTCTTATAAATGCCATTTTGAGAATGATTCTTTTCTTCATTGTGTGAAAGAGCTCTGGGACTGCAATCAGTTGTATGCAGGATCACACATACGGTCCGTGGCCCGCGACAAAAACGGTAACCCGGAATATTTTTCCACGGAGAAAGACTCTTTTGTTCCCTGACAGTGAGGGGTGAGGAGTCTGGTAGATCTCCTATCAACCATAATTGCCTCCGGCATCCATGGATGAGGCTCTGAGAAAACAGACTGGCCCATAAATTAGTCAAGCCACCTCAAACATGTAGAGTGTTCCATGTTTATTTACTTTTTTACTCTGGACTTCATATGACGACCCACCTTGTTGCAGGCCGCAGCATATCATCGCTGACGTTTGGAAATTGAGCACTCGTATATGTCGAATGCTATATGCCATCAGTGATGATCTTTGCTGAATTGACAGAGGTTAAGGTCATGACAAGGACCTCTGGCCTCGAGATGATTCAATTTTTTTTGAACTGAAGTATTTGACTATCAGCCTAATACCGATCAATTGATCCAAATCCCCGTCGTTCGAGCGGCTAGCCTGGTTGCCGCAGACTAAAATATTTAAACATGACAGCCGCGTAGGGCTCCTAGAACCCTAAATTTAAATTTAGGTTTAAAATCTCACAAATGGTAACAACCTAGGTCATACAATCGGTCGATATAGTTGCAATTTGGTGCGCTGCCATTGATAGGAAATCTGTGGTGTTTGGTTATATTATTTTAGCTAGTTGAGGAGTCGTGGCAAATGCCATGTTAGTCTAAGGATCTGGTTTCCTATGTCATCTGAAGTTAAGACATTTACTCACTTACTATCCCTTATTTTTAAACTCAACAGTATCATTCCTTTCTTCACATTTCTAGGCATATCCTAGAGGGAGCTGAGATGCATGGGTTTTTGAGAGCGAGAGTAAGAGTGAGTGTGAGATTGAGGCAGTGCGCAATGACACTTTTAGATCAAGGTATCAGCCTGCAATAATAGTGGCATAAATAAAAAAAATTCTTGCCTGCTTCATGTCCTGCGTGTGTATGTATGTGTAAAGATTGTTGTAACATCCAAAACGAGGCACGCGCCTAGTTTTGGGTTTGATAGGACCAAATCGCAATTAAATTGCCCATCAACGTTAGCAGGGGAGTTGATGTGGCTGAGAAACGTGGAACCGCAAAGACGATTTCCCAGACAGACTAAACTAAAGCTTAGCCAAGCGATCCCTAAAAGTTGTTTATTACTGTGGAATCTGTCATGAATCGTGATGTTGAAGATGCTGCTATTGTTATTTCCACAGTTGGCCTCTCAACCAAGTGCCCGATCTATCATCTAACCAAAGTTAGTTACCTGGTCGCGAAGCATCGTTAAAATGTCCTTCCCACAACCGCTCACCAGTAATAACTATCAGCCTTCAACCAATAATGGCCCGTCAATGACAACATCACAGCTTTAAATAAAACACCATGCTAGCAATGGCGGTGGATGGGGTGAATCAAGAGCGAGAAGTGAATAAGCAACAGATGTGATGCTGAAATAAGAAAGACTCGTCAGCATCCGTGGAGGAAAAAAGTAACATAACAATGATAGGGTGGCCTCCTGGTGCGCTTTCCATGGGGAGGTTTGAGCCGTTTGGGGGCCGTAAAAATAAACGTCACGTCCTGTCAGAGCAAGTAACTTTTTTAGGGCTGCCAGGGTTAGATTTTGCGGCCAACCGTTTCCCCTGGAGCATGCAGTCGTTCGTGGTTAGTGGATGCCAGATGTGTTCCAAACTCGATATCGTAATATATCAAGGTTCAAACATCCCAGGAGCACATGGGAGGGAGTCTAAGGCTGAAGTCCCAACAGATATCTGATGAGCAGGGAAGATAAATCCGAATTTAGTCGGGTGCAAGTAGCAGTTCTGTTAAGGCTGTCATGGGTATGAAGCAAGCGTCAGTCACGGTTCTTCTGGAGATCTGCTGTAGAGTGAAAAACTCGGCAACGTCTTGCCCCGGTGCAGCCACGGCCAGGAGCTCTTCCAATTGGGCACTTGGAGTTTTTTAAGCAGCATGGCGCCATCATTTGCCGAGCCTCTCATTTTCTGGAGATGTATTGTACTGGCTATTCTGTTTATCAGATTGTTTCGTTGCCGAGACGCGAGGGCGCATACCCAACCCTCTATCAATGCCTGGCAGCCTCAGGTCAAAGGCAGGCAGAGACAACGTCATCTATGCCCACCCCTATATCATGGCCTGCCATCAGGAGGAAGGGTTCTTGGTAGAGTTTTCGGTTCAAGATCCGAATACGGAGGAGATTTGGTGGAGAATCAAGCCCAAGGCTAGTGAACTCCGTTATGCCGGAAGGCTGGGCGGAAGAGGGGGGGTTTGTGAACGCTTTCACCACAGATGTTCCAGCGAACGTTTTGACCCTTTTACCAAGCAGGTTGAAACGCCAAGTGCCCCTCTCACACGCGAGATTGTGGACTATGGATAGCTTCCCTGCCAAGGGGGGGTTCGCCGTTGTAATCTGAAAACGACCGGGGAAGGCCAATCAATAATAATAATCCCTATTCCGCTGTCATGTATGCACAGCTTCAACCGATGTATGTGGATCACTTGCATGACTGGCCCAGGTGGCTGCATTGCTCCCTCGAACGGCCGTAGAAGCTCTGGGGTGATATTCTTGCTATTGGTAAGTTACGGGTGTGGGGGGAAAAGGCGGGCCCAGTTAAGGTTAGGGTTGAACAACAGCCCGGGGGGTTCAACACCCTGCTTTGTCTTTGCATCGAGTCGACTGCGACGTGGAAAACATTGCTTTGTTCCTATTTTCTTTTTCATGCAAGCCAAACACCCATCATGTCATTGTTTTCAATTTTGTATACATGTGCTATCCTACGCTATGTTATTGTACGCAGCGCTGACTAAGACCTCGAAAGCGAAAGACATTCCCCATTGGGGAAATGAGAGAAGCAGGTGGAAAATAAACCAAAATAAACAAAGAAAAAAAAAAAAAAAAGTAAATACGCAGCATACCTTCTATGTTCGTGGCGGGTTATCAGCGAATGAATTAAAAGCAGAGAGAGAAGGAAAACAGGAAGGCTAGATGAGAAATTATGATGCCAAAGTCGCTAAATCTGGATAATGTGAGAGGAGAACACAACAATGACCATCTATCTCTTTCCAGTAACAGCCCAAACAAAATCAAAAATATAAAAAAAAATATATATATATATATAAAGAAGAAACAAGCAAAAGTAAATGAAGTAGGAAAAGTCAAGAAGAGCTGGTCCGAAAAAAAAAAAAAAAAATAGGGAAAGGGAAAGGGGAAACAAGAAAGACAGGAAATGACACTATCCCATCATCTCCTCATCGTCGAAAGCAAATCGATCTATCACCCGCCTCGCATTACTTGCTATCCGGGCACATAGAGGTTCTGTATCATGCACTTGACCGGATTCCCCTGGAGGAGAGTTGTGAGGCTGTCTGATCCCTCCCATGTGAAATTCAAGATGCTCAGGCCTGGGTTGGGAATGCCACCACCGTTGCCGGTCCTCTAGCTCTTCAATCAGAGAAAGCAGATTCGGACCCTCCAGGCTCTCACTTTGAACCGCATCGACCATGGGAGTCACAGCGCTGCCAATTACCGCATGTCTAACGACATGGTTCAACCACCTCTTCCACTTTCGCTTCCGTTCGTTGGGGTCTGACGATAGAGAGGCAATGAAAGATGGGGAGAGGACGTCTCTCCCCAACTGCTCCGCGTCCATTTGCGAGACTTTCAGCCAAGTGTCTCCGAGAACGTTGAGCAGGCTCCCGAGTACCATGAGGTTTTGCACGCTACTGTTGAAGGACTGAGGACATATTTCGCAGTAGATAACTGACCTGGCGTTTCGTGCTGCAGAATAGAGGGTGAAGAGGGTTTGAGATGAAGGTGGGAAAGAAGAAATCGTGGAAAGGGAGTTGAGGCAAAGATACATGTAAGATACGCATGAGCATGGCGCTAGAGGCTGATGTTGCCGAAAGGCGTCGGGGGATTGCATAAGACTCGGAGCCGGTGAGAAAGTCGTTGATGGGGGCGGAGAGAGCATCCCGGCACCAGATGTTTGCGGGTAAGCCGGTAATGTTGGATAAAGAGAGACTGACAGTTGCCCGGAGGTATGCGCATGGCCGTGTTCCCCGTACATCGGGCCGGTAGTGACAAATTGTCCCGGTGACATCGTGTAGGAACTGTAGGTTGGAGCATGCAGAGCGGCTCCAGATAATAGATGAGATGGGTTCGGGAGTGAAAACGGCGGTGATTGTTCTATTCCGGAATAAAATTGTGGTGGAGTTGTTGCTGCTGCTGCTGCCGCTGCTGTAAGCTCCTCGTCCCGGCGTACGCGAGACTTTGGCGGACGCCCCATTGGTTTTTGTATTGAATAGTGGCAATACAGGTTTTGCCTGACGCACCGGCTGCAGCCATCAGCTTCGCCAGAACATTTTAACTTTCGCTGCCCTGGAGTTATCGACTCGTTAGCAACAACCAAAACTTCAAGATACATCGGAAAAATAGAAATGTGAGAATTACTGCATTCATCACAGGCAGCATGTCTTTTGGGACCTGCTGATTCTGTCGCAGGACCAGTCGATGGGTTGCGTGAAAGCGGCATTCTAAAGGGATCGTACTGAGTTGTGATATCTGCAATGAGCGCCATATGGGAAAAAGAACCACGATCAAGAATGATGGAGGGAACAAGGGGATTATATACATTTTTCTAATTTCCAAAGGTTGTTTTTCCCATAAGCAAGGGCTCTCGCCAATGCTTCTGGGAAAAAGTCGCTAGGGCTCTTCGCCTCTAGGCTGCTTTATAAGTCATAATAATAAGCCACGTTTGGGGATCGTCCTGGTTGACATAATCTTAACAGCATGGACCTGGCTATATTAGAAGAGTTTCTGGATTCTCCAGGAGGTTTTTAGAGTCGCCAGTAGTCGCAGAAGGTAGAAACGGTTATCTCACACCCTTGTTCGCATCTTGCACGAAATCCGGCTGCTCATGGACGTATATCGTACATACACACATACAACCTAGCGGTATTAGTCAAATCGAATGATTAGAGAGGACTTAGGTCCTCTGCGTTTCGCCTGGGAATGGTCTATGGATTTGCTTGCTAGCCATATTTTGACAGAGATCCGAGGCTGGAGAAGGGTAAATGCAACCGTTGCGGTGTTTCCCTATTATTGGAATTATCGGCCTCCTTGCTTTCCAGCAAGCCTTATGAGTTAAAAAGGAGTGGGGGCTAAATTAAGAACGGGTTAAATATATAGTTATGTCTGCAAGGTGCCAGTGAGAGAGGGGATCCACCAGCGGGGCCAACCCACAACAACAAGTCAACCACCCAGTTTAAAATGGAGATCCCAAGGCCGCGAAGCTTAAGGACGGATGCCCTAGGTATGGGGACCGTCAAGACCTGGGGCGGTTGCTCTGACGCTGATGAGAGCTCGGATTTCCAAATTGGGGAAAGTTGACGTCTAAATCGGGAACATGATACAGTGCCCAACCTCCTCGCACCCTACCGTAATCCCTGAGCCGCATCAGCCGAACCTTTTCTTTTCAGCTGTTCGATTTGAAGAATCAAACCTTGGAGCTGCGCACTTTGCTTGGGGGTAGCGGAAGAGCTGGGTTTTCTGGTGGAATATTCAGTACTCTACTCTTCCTGAACTTCTTCGATGGTGCAAAATTCCCCTCTATGAATCGCCCCCGTTGGCTGGGTATGCGGATGAATGTTCGGCCGGAGCCGATGCACGTGACGAGGCTTCGGGATAACTATTTCTCCTGGCCATAAATCTTGGCATCTTGGCGGTTGATTAACTCCGCACTAAACACACGGAAGAAAAAAGTCGGACGAAGGTCCAACCTCCAAAGATGAACAGTCGCATTCCGCTCGACATTCAGCCATCAAGGGTTTTAACTGTCGGCAATGGACGGCTCCAGGGGCTCCAGGAAGCGCAAAGCTGTCACTAGAGACCTGGGCGAAGAGCCTGGCGTGGTCTCTGGGAACGAGCTCCATCTGGATTCAGCGGACGGAAGCCTCGCCGATCACTCTGAGGATTTGGACGGGAGCAGCGACTCGGAGATAGAATTGGCTGACGATCTCAACAGTGATGACGATGAGGAGGAGGAGGAGGAGGAGGAGGAAGACGAAGATGAAATTAACAGCGATGAAGTCCCGTCAGATATAGAGCCCAAGGTCGTTGGCAAAAAGTCGGGGCCGGGTGGCGAAGTTGACATTATCGTTCGCGGGGACGATACCGCATCCGACGACGACGATGACGACGACGACGACTTCGAGAGTGATGATAGACCCAATTACCGAGTAGTAAAAGACGCCAATGGAAACGAACGATATGTATATGATGAAATCAACCCGGATGACAACTCAGATTACTCTGAAACTGATGAAAATGCAAATACCATCGGGAATATCCCGCTCTCCTTTTACGACCAGTACCCACACATTGGGTATAATATTAATGGGAAAAAAATAATGCGACCAGCAAAGGGACAGGCTCTTGATGCATTGTTAGATAGTATAGAACTTCCCAAGGGGTTTACAGGTTTAACAGACCCTGCTACCGGAAAACCCTTGGAATTGACTCAGGATGAATTAGAATTACTGCGCAAGGTGCAAATGAATGAAATTACGGAGGAGGGCTATGACCCTTACCAGCCAACTATCGAGTACTTCACTAGCAAGCTGGAGGTTATGCCGCTGAGTGCGGCTCCGGAGCCAAAGCGGCGGTTTGTTCCATCGAAACATGAGGCCAAGCGCGTGATGAAATTGGTCAAGGCAATCAGAGAAGGGCGAATTCTTCCCTATAAGCAGCCAGCTGAGGAAGATGAGGCGGAAGAAGGTGTACAGACATATGACATCTGGGCCAATGAGACTCCGCGAGCAGACCATCCGATGCACATACCTGCTCCTAAGCTACCCCCCCCGGGTTATGAGGAGAGTTACCATCCACCACCAGAATATCTCCCTGATGAAAAGGAGAAGTCAGCCTGGTTGAACACGGATCCGGAGGATCGTGAAACTGAATACCTACCCACAGATCATGATGCCCTCCGAAAGGTTCCCGGGTACGAATCATTTGTCAAGGAGAAATTTGAACGCTGTCTTGATTTATATTTGGCCCCCAGAGTGAGGCGAAGTAAACTAAATATTGATCCGGAAAGTTTACTCCCCAAGTTACCCAGCCCTGAAGAGCTGAAACCCTTCCCGTCGACGTGCGCTACTCTATTCCGTGGACACCAGGGGCGAGTCCGAACTCTGGCCATCGATCCTACTGGCGTTTGGCTTGCGAGCGGCGGTGACGATGGCACTGTGCGTGTGTGGGATATTCTTACCGGGCGCCAGTTTTGGTCCGTGGCACTGAGTGGCGATGATGCCATAAACGTCGTCCGATGGAGACCTGGGAAAGATGCTGTGGTTCTGGCGGCTGCAGCTGGGGATAGT